TCCTCCCACCACCCACCCACCCAGCCAGCCATCTCAGTCATGGCTAGAATTGCCCCAGCACCCCTGCCGGCTGAGCCTGTTTGGGAGCAGAAGACCAGGGCTAGCGATGCTGTGCTGTGCTGTGCTGTGGGGAGGCCCCAGCAGCAGAAGGCAGGGCTGGGGGGCGGGGGCGCGGGCGTGTGGTGTGGAAGGTCCTGCACCTGATCTCACAGCATGGCAGTGCCAGCTATGGAAGGGGAGCGGGGGAAGCCCATTCACTCCTTCCTGGCAGCCAGTCCTCTGACTAAGTGCAGAGGCCTTCCTCTCTCTCTCTCTCTCCCCCCCCCGGCCTGCCTCAGGCTGCAGAGGCTTGGGGATCTCTCCTGGCACACTGTGCGGGTGGCGCCACGGTGGCCTCCTCTCTTGCTGCTGAAGGAGAGAGTCAAGCTCTGCTCCACCACTGCTTTTTTGTTCTGAAGGCTTAGGAGAGACCTGGCAGTCTGAAAAAGCCCAAGGAGGGGCTCTTCTAAGGGCAGAAACGGAGCAGAGGCACAGAAAGTGAGGAAAGAAAGCCAGGAGAGGCGGACCATCAAGGTCCAGCCTGCGTGTTCCAGTCTGTGGCCGTTCTGGGAGGGGCAGCGGAAGTCAGCGATCTCGAATCCCCATCAGGGCAGGGCAGGGCTGAGCCAGAGTGGGTCACCCTCTGTCTGTAGCTGGTGGCGGGGGCAGCAAGTGGGAGCCGAGGGTCTTCTTTGACGGAGGGAGGCAAGCCGCTCTCTGCTATCAGGCGGGGAAATGTGTGCTGTGGTGTGCAGGGAGCCATGCAGGCTGGGCCGGGCTGCTTGTGGGGTAAAGTGGGCAAGGATGGAGGGATCGGCTCCAGAACGGCCGGGAGAGGCGGCCGGTGGCCGGGGCTTCTAAGCTCCCCAGAGGGTGTTTTCATTCCACAACCGAGGCATTGGACCCCCCGTCCCGTAGCCAGTGGCTGTGTCGGTTGAGGATTATTGGGGGTGGGGTCAGCCAGGGCTCAGCTCCTTGGTAAGGCACCTGCTTGGGAAACACACGCCCCCATCCCCAAGGCATCCGTGGATTTGGGGCTGCTACGGTCTTGGGAGGAGAAAAATATTCCAGAACTTTCTAACTCACAGAGTTGGGCTGTCGTTAGGAAAGGACTTGGGGCTTCATGCACTAGAAATCCCACAATACCTGCTGGTGGCAGAGTCCACAGTCAGCACAGGAGCCCTTAAGATCACCCTCTGATTGCACCAAAGCAGAGGGAAGGGCCTCTGACCTGAAGCGAAGCCACTTCTGATCTGGCCACGCTGAAGGGCTGGAAGCCCGAGGAGGGAGAGAGAGATCTGGAAGCAGAAGGCGACCGGGGGGGGGGCGGCAGCGCGTGCGGACAGCGCCCATGAAATCCAGGGACAGGCAAGCAAGCAGGTGGAGTTTGCCCACAAAGAGAGGGATCAACGGGCAGGCCGTGGGCGTGCGTGGCTCCGCCAAGGCCGTGTGGGTCCGGAGGCCCTTTGCTGACCCTGCGTTCTGGCCCCCTTTCCAGAGGCATGAAAGTCATCGAGAACCGCGCCATGAAGGACGAGGAGAAGATGGAGCTGCAGGAGATGCAGCTGAAGGAGGCCAAGCACATTGCAGAGGAAGCTGACCGCAAATATGAAGAGGCGAGTTGCGTGGTAGCTGGCGGGGTGGCGGGGAGAGGGAAGACGGGAGATTTCCAGCCCGGGGCAGGGGAGGGGGTGGCCGAGGGGGAGTGCCTGCCAGGCTGACCCGGGACTCTCCTTCCCTGGCAGGTGGCGCGCAAGCTGGTGATCCTGGAGGGCGACCTGGAGCGCTCAGAGGAGAGGGCAGAGGTCGCCGAGAGGTGAGTGATGGAGAGAGCCTTGGCCTCCCGTTTAGTTTCATTTGAGCATCCTCAGCCCAGGCCCCTTGAGGGTTTGTACTCTTCCCTCCCTCTCTGACTGGAAGGGAAGCAGCAGCAGCAGCAGCCCCGGAGGGGGGGGCACTGGGGGGGGTAGGCAGTAGGGAGTTCTAGGCCAGATCCAACGCCCCCGGCACTGACCCTGTGCAAGCCAGAGGCTGTCAAGAGACGGAGCTGCCCTGCCCTCCCTCCCGATCACAAAGGAGGGATCAGAGGATCAGCTTTGCTCCCTCCCCACCTTCCAGCAGGAGCTGCTCTCTTAGGGGGCTGGTGCCAGTGGGCCCTTCTGCTCTGCCTGGTGGGCCTGGGAAGGGTGGAAGAGGCCCCGCTCCCTGCCCACCTGCCCGCCCGCCCGTGGAGCCTTCCTGCCCTGCCAGCATTTCAGCTCCAGGAGAGGTGATGTGCTCAGGAGCAGCGCTACACACGAGGTGACAGGGGGCCAGGCCAGAGGTCAGGATGGCCTTCCCTGCCCCGCCCTCCCCTCCCAGTCCGGATCTATCCCCCCTCCCCTGTGTCGGGCCAAGGATGATCTGCCTGCGGGAGGGAGGGAGGGAGGGAGGGATGCAGCCCAGCCCCAGGGGCCCACGGGCAGGCCTGCTCCGGCCAGGCGCCAGAGGCCCAGCCTCACCACCGCCAGCCTGTTGTTCCGGATGAAGGGCCAGAGGGTGGCTCGGGACTCCTTCGCTCCCTATGGGGACAGTGGGTCCCTCCGCGGTGGAGCTCTCTTGTGGAAAGGGGCAACCATCCCCCACCCCCATGCCCTGGGGGCAAGATGGCGATGCCCCAGCAAGAGAGGTTTCATGCCTCTGACTTAGCAGGTGGACATGGAAAGCCACACAAGCAGCCCAGGAGATGCAGGCGCCCCTTCTTGCCGTCCGGTCGACCGGCCCACCCCCACCCCCACCCTTGGGTGGGAGATGGCCAAAGGGCGAGGCACCGGGTGGCCGCTTGCCTCCTGCTGCTGCAGCCGCTCAGTGTTGCCCACACCCTTTCTTCCCCAGCCGTGCGAGGCAGCTTGAGGAGCAGCTCCGTGCCATGGATCAGGCCCTCAAATCCCTGATGGCTGCGGAGGAAGAGGTACTGCGCAGGGGGCTCGCCTCCCCCTCCCAATCTCTCTCGCCTCCTCTCCTTGCTCTGCCCAAGCTGCACCGGTGCCTCCTCTGCCTGCCGTTCTCCGTCGGGGACTCTCCTGGGTTCCTTCCTCCCTTCCTTGGTTTCTCCCTCCTTCTTTTCTCCTCTTGGCGGCCTCATCCTGCTGAGTTCTTCGGAGAGGGTGGGGCGAGGGGAGGGGGTTCCTTGGGGCAGGGGCCAAGTTCTTCTGTCCTCTCAAGGGATTTGGGGAGGGAGTGGGTGGGACTGCCTGAGGCTTGGTTGGATTGGGGACAGGTGCCCGAGGGGAGCTGCTCCGGAGCAGCCAGAAAAGCGCTGGCCAGCCAGAGGCCCCTCCCCCCCGGTCTCTGGAGGGGCCCCTGAGCTCCAGAGTGAGAGGCGAGGGGCAGGGATCGCCTGCCCGGCAGAGGAGGGGGCCTTGGCTGGCCACAGAGAAAGAGACACCGTGTGGGTCCTAGCCCCCTGGACAAGGAAGGAAGTCACCTTAGCCAGGGACTGGAGGAGGGCCTGGAAGGAAAGGCATCCTTGTGGGAGTCCTCCTTCCTTCTGGCCTCGCAGGGAGAGGGGGCTGGCGTGGCTGAGCCTGGTGCCCCCCCGCCTCCCTTTCTCTCTGCGAAGAGAGCCGGGGCAATGTCCTGACGGGTCCTCTTGACCCCGGGGACCCCAGGATCCCTCTGAGGTGTGTGTTGCTCTCCAGCTGCCAGGTGTCCCCTGTGGCTTGTCCTCCCCCACAAACCCCGTGGGTCTTGTCAGGCTTTGGCCCTGGGCTTCTACCGCCCTTCCCTCTTCCGTGGCAATTTCTCCTTTCTCTCAACTGGTTCTTCCCTTCCCTTCCCTCCCCTTCTCTCTCTCTCTTTCTCTCTCTCCATCTCCTTCCCTCCCCTTCTCTCTCTCTTTCTCTCTCTCCCTTTCTCTGTCCTTCCTTCCTTCCTTCTGTCCTGGGCCTTCCGCTTCTGCTTCCCTGCCTGGGACACAGTAAATGTGGTGACCTGGAAGAGGAGCTGAAAATTGTCACCAACAATCTCAAGTCCCTGGAGGCACAGGCCGATAAGGTAGGCGGGGCAGGGCTGCCCGGTGGGGGTGTCATGAGATGAGTGCATATGTGTGTGCATGTGTGTTGGGGGGGAAGTCGGGGGAGTGGCCTCTCCAAAGGTGTGCACGGGGGGGGGGGTTGTCTCTGTAAAGGAGGAATGGGCAATGGCCTGGCTGCCCTGTGACGCCTTCTCCTTTTTCTGTTCTTTTCTGCCCCCTCTCCCCCCCCTCCCAGTACTCCACCAAGGAGGATAAGTATGAGGAGGAGATCAAACTGCTGACAGACAAGCTCAAGGAGGTAAGAAGTGGCCAGCATTGGTTTGGCCCTTCCCTTGCATGGAGCTTTATTAAGGAGCTAACAAAGTGGGAAATGGGTTATGATTGAACAGAAGTAGGTCTCCGAAAAGGCAGGATCCAGAGATGTACACACAGAGAGAGAGAGAGAGAGAGCCATCAGCTCTTTGCAAGGGTCCTGAGTCTCTGTGGGGAAAACTGTTCTCTGCTTTGGACCCTGAAAGCGGCTTTGATCAAGTAGAGGGGAAGGAAGGTGGCCTGGACCTTTCCTTCCTAAACGGATGGAGAAGGTTGATGTGGGAAAGCGGCCTTTGCGTCCTTCCTCCCACCTGGAGGACTGAGGGAAAGAGAAGGTCCTGGGGAGACCAACAGTTTCAGGTTAGGGTGGGTTTTTTTGGATCAAAATCCACGTCTTCGGGCTCGGGAGTGGAAATGCATGCCTTCGGATGCCCCTGCATCAGAGGACGTGGATTTTGACCCACGAGAACTCACACAGTGAAATGAAACGGTGCGCCTTTAAAGGGCTGCAGGCCTTTGCCTCAACCCGTCCCCTCCCGCCTGTTCTGTTACCCGCCTGCTGAGAGAAACCAGCACAGCCGCTTCTTTGGCATGTGTGGGAAAGAGGTGTCTCCTGGGAGCAGCACGTCAAGCCGCTTCTCTCCCCCAACCCCAAAGCTGGAGAAGAACGAGAGAGGAGAGGTGGAGAGCCCATCGTTGTCTCCTGGGAGCAGCACGTCAAGCCGCTTCTCTCCCCCAACCCCAAAGCTGCAGAAGAACGAGAGAGGAGAGGTGGCGAGCCCATCGTTTTGCACCCCACTCCACCCCACCCCCTCTTAATTCCCACCCGCCACCCCAGGCATTCTCCCATTCTCCCCAGCCCACCTTTGGCCAAACGACACATCAGAACCTCCTTCAAGGCATTCTTTGTGTCTGTAAATGCATCCCGCTCTCCTAAGTACTGTTCCCTGGGCTAGATTCATTTAAATTCCTAGCAAGGAAAAAAGAACAAGGATAAATAAAGATTTCCATTGTGATTTGCTAGCTAAGCAGATATATTGAGAGTGAGGTTCTCTTCAGCCAATGTGACCCTTCTGTGTCCTGGGAGTGTCGTCCGGATACTCTGGTGATTTAGCACACATCCTTTCTGTGCTCCACAGTGTGGAGCGCTCAGAGCCCTAAGGCAGGTTCCAGAACCAGCGGGCTCTGTGCACGTGTGGAGAGAGACAAAGGGAGAGGGGGGGGCGGAGAGAGAGAAGCTAACAGCAAGCTCATTTGGACTTTCCAGCAACGGTTGCAATCATATCAATGTTCATTTGGAAGGAGGCCCGGTTGAGCAAAAAGGTGCTGAGTACTTCCAAATAAACATGCACAGGAATGGTGGTAGGGAAAAAATAACAGGGGAAAAATTGAGATCCTTTTAAAGCACAGTGCATGAGAAAGCCAACAGACTCAATAGAAAACAGCAACATCAGGCTCTGGATGAGACCGCTGTCCTGAGTTAATCTTGCTCTCATGAGCCCCCTTGGCCTCGAAATCCAGACAGAGACCAGAAAGGAGTGGGAGGCCAGCACACCCCAATTGCAGCAAGGACATGCCACCCCCTTCCCAGAGGCTCTGGAAGAATCGACTGGAATGGAAAGAGCGCTCGCTCCACAGGATAAGCTCTCTGCTTTAGTTGGACTAGTTGTCGGGGGGGGAGGCGTTGCAACCACTCTCACCAGGCTAAAGATGGAAGCACACAAGTGCATGCACACCCCCAAGATACCCACAAGAGACGCCACACTTTCAAAGGCAGCTCACAGAAGCTGAGATTGCACAAAGACGGAAGAGGAAGATTTAAGAATTATAAAATGGAGTGTCAACAGCTGCATGGCCAGGGGAAGGAATGGAGAGAGAGATGCAGAAACAGCCGTAATCTCAGTCGGAACACTCCCCCCCCACACACACACACAGGAAGGCAATGGGTGGTGAGGGAGGTCCGTGGGGGCGCGCGCTAGGGACACAGTTTCACCTTCTCTTGAGGTGGGGCCCCTTGCAATGCCTCCAGGTAGGATCTGAAGAGACAGGTTTGTCTGGGAGCTGACCCCCCCCCCCAAGGAGCAGAGGCTAGGAGGCTGCCTCACTCCACGGGCCACAGCCCCACCTCCACAGGAAGGTGCTCTGATCACCTGTCCCAGGTGGTTTGTGGCTTCGTGAGCTAGCAGATGGAAACAGGGAGCTCACCGAGAGACCAGCGGGCGGCGGGGCTCTTGGCTGTGAGGCTGGGCTTGTACTGGGCTGCCCAGCAGTCTTCCAAAGGCAGGCAAGAAAGGGTGAATGGCCACACGAAAGACACTCCCCAAGCATGCATTGGCTGCTGTCACAGATGGCCAACTGCTGCTCAGCTGTGGTAGCTGCAGAAATGGGTGTTTCATAGTCCAGGTGGAAGCACCCCCCCCCGTATCTAACATGCACCAGCACCCCATTCCATGGGGGGGGGAGCGATGGTGAGCGATGCTCTCGTCTGTACTTGACACTGGAAGGATAGGCTTGAGGTGTGGAAATAGGGGTGGGGGATGCCCCTTTCGTTCTGGCCGAGGGGCCCGTCCTTTGCAGGTGGGCAGAGTGAACTTTAGAGAGCCCTGAAATGTGCAGAAGCAGCGCCTGCGTGCGCCCACACCCATTCCCCCATGCCTCTGCCCCTGTAACCCAACGGGCTCCTGGCCTCTCCTCTCTCTTCCTCTCCCTGCCAGGCTGAGACTCGGGCAGAATTTGCAGAGCGGTCGGTGGCAAAGCTGGAGAAGACCAT